GTTTTGGAAAATACCACAAATGGCGCGGTAAACGCCATCTGTAGTACGATGCTACATTTTAGGATTACGTATGCTCCAACAAGGTCCATTTAAATATATGGATATCCCTTGCTGAAACGAATCCCGGCGTAGCTAACCTCAACGTGATAGGCACGTTACCATAACTGAATAAAATGATTCGAAGTGGTCTGTATTCTGTCGAAACTGCCAGACGCGGATCGCGATTTCGATCTTTTTGGATCTCATCAGCGCGTCGCAGGCAGCTCCGACAGAACACAGACCAACTTTTACCTGCTGTCTTAACAGTGCGTTTTAGAAAATACTACAAATGGCGCAGTAAACGCCATCTGTAGCACGATGCTACATTTTAGGATTACGTATGCTCCAACAAGGTCCACTTGTGTGGATATCTACTTGCTGAAAACGAATCCCGGCGTAGCCAACCTCAACGTGATAGGCACGTTAGCTTAATCGAATAAAATAATTCGAAGTGGTCTGTATTCTGTCGAAACTGCCAGACGCGGATCGCGATTTCGATCTTTTTGGATCTCATCAGCGCGTCGCAGGCAGCTCCGACAGAACACAGACCAACTTTTACCTGCTGTCTTAACAGCGCGTTTTAGAAAATACCACAAATGGCGCGGTAAACGCCATCTGTAGTACGATGCTACATTTTAGGATTACGTATGCTCCAACAAGGTCCATTTAAATATATGGATATCTACTTGCTGAAACGAATCCCGGCGTAGCTAACCTCAACGTGATAAGCACGTTACCATAATTGAATAAAATAATTCGAAGTGGTCTGTATTCTGTCGAAACTGCCAGACCCGGATCGCGATTTCGATCGTTATGGATCTCATCAGCGCGTCGCAGACAGCTCCAACAGAACACAGACCTACTTTTACCTGCTGTCTTAACAGCGCGTTTTGGAAATTATTTATTCATTCAATTTTGAATGAAGGAGCCCTAAATAGTAATGAAACTATTTTAGGATTGTTATACAAAACTATCTCCTCCGTTTGTCTATGCTTTATCGTAACTTACAAAAGCAAATTTTTAGTGAAACAAACCAATAAACAATCAGCAGGTTGTTCAGCTAATAAAAATTCTGTATTTTAGTAAATGAAACAGCAAAAAAAAAATATATAAAAATAATTCGGTCTTCAGCTGGTAGGTACTTCGCATCATTAATCTATAAGAACTAATGGTTATACCGAATTAGAATACGTAAAATGTGTTTTATTTTCACCATTCGGTTTTAAATTTATAGAAATTTTCCCGTATAAATGAATATGTAATTTGGAGTATGCCAAAGACAGGAAACATAAATATTTATTAAAATTAGAGAAAGGAGATAGAACAATTTATGTATGTAGATATCTCATTATTTAAGAAAATGAGTTAAAGTGAAAGTTTATTAACAAAGACAACGCAAATCGTTGTAAAATACCTAATACAATCTAATTTGCGCGTAATGAAATGAATCAAATTGCTGAGGGATACTTAATGGTTTAAGAACAATATAACCGTTTGAATAAGTACCCTTTTCTAATTGCAATAATCTACTTAAGCATAAGGTGTGAATAATAGGTCCATGATTATAAAGGGTATTGAAATTCTTGCAATATTTCAAGAAAATATTCGAAATTCCGAAAATTGTCTCTTGAATAGATATATGAAACGAGACGCCTTTGGTTCGGTCACGCAAAAATAGTCTGTACCTTCCAAATTTCATTTTGTCAATAAGATAATCGTTTGAAAAGTTTTACTCAAACATATCTCACATTTTGAGTTTTTAGTCTTTTGCAGAATAAACTTCATCCCCTTCAGATATTCTCATTGGCAATATTTTTATTACATTCAGTGATTGCTAAACCGTTAAATGATAGAAAATCAGTTCCAATACGAACCATAGTCCATCGTCAGTGAAACTAATACAGTTTTATAGTACCTAATTTCAATTTCTTATAGACTTAACATATTAAACAAAATTTTCGAATACAAGGGAATTATTATTATTTTCTATATTTCTTTGGAAACAACAACCTGTTTCACTTGTGTCTTTAGACGCAATTTAGCAACAATTCCAACGAAAGTTTTTGGATAAACTTCGCAGCTATCATTCATCTATGTACATACCTTTTTCAAGACTTTTAGGTAGATCTTGGCCTGAGTTTTATTTACTTTTTTCCAAGATTCTAATTTGACTAGCGTAATAGTAATAAGGTACTCAAAAACATTGTTAATCGTGATCATCTCGGAAATGTCATTAAACTTACATCAACTGAAACGTTCAATAGAATGATATATTTCAAACCGGTACTCCTAATTTCGAAAATTACAATAAACAGAGAAGCCCAAAGTAAAACCTATTTTCAGAGAAGGTTTCCTTTGCAATTACATAAATCCACAAATGATGTATTTTGAGCAGCTAGAACAAGATCACTGATAAGACAAAACGAATAACAAGAAAAGATGCTTTATTTTTAACGTTTTAAATTGTACATATTTAGACATGTTACCAAAATGATTTTGTAAAAAAATACTTAAAGCCTGCTTTTTTCCATTTTATAGTAATCAGATGGGCAGCTACGGGTGGGTCCAGGTCCTTAATGATGGCAAAATATTTGTTACTTTTTCCAATTCGAGAACTTTTACAATTTTTCTCTCCTTGAACATAATTGTATAGATGCGAAAAATTTAGAACAGTTAGCTTAACTTCCCATGCGTTAAAAATCTTAATTACAATTATATAGAGAGTAAGTACGGAAAAAAGAACGGAAGAACTATTAAGGGAAGACAAATTTGGATTTAGAAGAAATAGAAAAACAGGGAAAACCATTTTAGCTTTCCAGGTGAAAATAGAGAAAAGAAAAGACAAAAGAAAATGGAAACAACGCGTACATCGGATTCGTAGATTTAGAAAAAAACTTTTGACAAAATTAAATGGGACAAGATGTTATATGAACTAAACAATGTAGGGATGAGATACAAAGACACAAGAGTGGTATACAGTTTGTATAAAAAGCAACATACAGTTATAAAACTTGAACAGTAACGTAAAAGAATAATTATTAGGAAGGGAGTCAGACAGGGATTATTTTTTTTTGTTTTCCTGGAAGAGGGTAAATCCGATGTTTTCTGACTTGTGTATTGAAGACGCCATAAACATCATTAAAGGCATGACAATTTTAGGGATGGATATGCAAGGGAAAATGAGGATTATGCTTAAATTTTCAGATCATATAGCCATATTAGCATCTGGCAGGGAGAGTTAGAGATAACCTTTAATAAAATGGAAGCGGTATTGACAAAACAGTCTGGTATGAAAATAAATAAAGGTAAAAAATAGAGTGAATAAAAAGAGTGAATATGCAAAATTAGAAGAAGTCGCTCATTTTCAGTGTCTAGAAAGTCAGATAATTCATAATATTGATCATTCAAGGTGTATGCCTAAAGGAACACAGCGGATAGAGTTAGAAATAAGGGGGCATTACAAAGAGAATAGGCGAGATAGGTTGTTCGTAGGACATCTCCTCAGACATGAAGGGATAGTTAGAGATAGAGCAAAAGAAGAAATTAATAAGAGTAGAGGCAGACTTAGATTAGATTACTGTTCGCAAATAGTTAAGGATGTGGGATGTTCTAGTTTTAGGGAAACGAAAAGATTAGCTAAAGTTAGGAAAGGGTGAAGGTGCGTGTCCAACTAGTCTTAAGACTGACAACCCCTAGGATGATGATGAACTAATTACTAAATTATTTGCTCACAAAAGAAAATCGTTTCCTGGCCGATGGTGATTAAAAGTAACATAGATATGCACCATGGGAGAAAATAAGCATGAGGTCTGAGGCATTCTTTGCTTTTTCTGACCATAGGTGCGTAAAATGCTAATATTTATCACGGAACTGGAGGCGTCTGGAATTTTATGATAGGGTTTGGATGGAACTTATATAAAATCTGTGACAGTGCGGTGCACTCTTGGCCATGTAAAAAGGTGTAGTACGTCCCTGAGTAAAATAGACTTCCCGTTTTCAATAACCGTTTTATTATTTGGATTGAAACAAATTAATTCTATGTCAGCTGTACAAAAAAAAACAGTAAAACTTTGGAACAAATTATTTTTTTAGTTGTAGGTACCTACGAATTACCTTCATTAGAGAGTACTTGTAAGACAAATAAAACATATATTTACTTTAGATAAATGATAACAGTGGTTTTCAGGATTGGTGATTTTACTTTCACAAATATCGATAAGGATTTGTGAATGATTTGCCCGTCTGATTGGTTTAGTCTTTCTACCAATCATGTAACCAAGTAGAACACGTTGATTGAAGATTATTTCTGCTGTGAAATAAACTAGGCATATGAAAGAAAAAAAGACTATTATCTAAATTTAAACACTTAAGAATCTAAATCAAAATGCTTACAACACTTTTTTATTAGTAACATTTGATTTTTTGAGAGTTTAAGGACGTTATTAATAGGAATACTTCAATAAATAGTTTAAACACTACCAAAAATGTATGATCGTGTCTAACTATGTATATGATAATATAATATGCAAAAAACTTATTTGTTTCAAATTGAACTGAAATTAAAATATTTGAAACAGGTATTCGTAGCCGACATCTCTTAATCTTATGTAAATGAACACAAACATTCTGAAGCTATTTACACGAGTAAATATAGAGAACGCACAGTTGCGGGCATTTTGAATGACATTCGTGAGTAAGAGCCATATGGACTGATTTTTTTGTCGTATTGGAGCAACTTTTACTCAAAATGTAATAATTTTATATGTATAATGGACGTTTTTGAGCCTGAAATCGTCATGTCATGAGATTTTTACTTAAAATCTGCATATTAATGAATTTGAGAATAATGATTGTTGCCGCCTTATTTGGTATGTTGGACGCTACGTTCTGCGCAGCGGCTACTGTAACACTGACATGCGCGTTGCGTCTTCTGCCTCAAAGTCGAATGGCAATGAAACCGGCTGCACCCGTACAGTAAAGTAGAGACGAGAATAAGAATGGTATTGTAGTCTTTCGGTCGTCAAAGTGAGTTGCTCGCAGTGTAGTTTGTTGTTCGAAACTGTGACGTATGCTCCCTTGAAGCTCCATATTTAAGTTACAAACCCTCAGTTGTGCCTGAAATCTAATCAAAATGTGTGATAACAATTCGACACAAAGTATAGCGGACTATTTAGCTCAGTTGTTGAAAGACAGAAAGCAATTAGCTGCTTTTCCCAATGTGTTTATTCACGTCGAGCGTCTTTTAGACGAAGGTAAGATTTTGCTTTTATATAACTGCGCTCTCGGTCAATTGTAATCGTATGCGGGAATTTTATAGCGATAAGGAGAGTTTTTGTCGAGTTCCATAGAATTACGGCATTCGCGAGAGTATCGCAGTATTTTCTTGGTTGTTATTGTTGATAATATTAACATGTGATGCCCACAGTGACCCATGACGTATCCATGTCTCGGTTGAATGTGTTCAAAATTAACTTGACATTCCTTAAATACGGGAATCAAATAACGCTGCTGTTTCATATTGTTAAATATCGGGAACAAGCGTTTATTTATAGGACTCAATGATGATTCGTTTGCTCATGTAAAGCGATACGCATCATAGAAGCAGATCTTAACCTCCGATAAAGAATTGAGATAGAGCTGCTGGCTCAGGATTTAGAACGTGACTTAAATATGCATGTAAACAACCGTTTCTTATAAATATTTTGCTTTTTTGTGTTTTACAGTGCATTTTTAAGCATAAATTATGAGCAAATTGCAAGAAACTGCGTAAAAAGTCTTAAGAAACGTGTATCTCTCAAGGCGTGGCACTGTTACTTCGGAATGTGGCTGGTCAGAGGTTCTATATGTGTATACTTACTTCATCAAACTACACCTGCATTAATTAAGGATAATAACTCTTGCATTAACTGCCTTTGGCGTCCACAATTCAACTAACTGTACCCCAAAGGGTTAACGCATGTCTGTAATTACTTTTCTTGAAATTATTTTGTTGAAAATTTTCCTTTTGTTGGTCATCTCCATACGAGTCTACTCAATATTATTTTTAAAAATGTGATCTTTATTTACCTGGGAGAGAACATTTTTTGATAATGTTAATAATAATAATAATAAGATTTTGATTAAAATTCAATCGAAGATCCTGGTAGCGTTGTTTGTCCACCAGTGATTTCCATAATCGAGAAATAGTGTATGTTTATTCATGAAAATACTACCTGGGTCGTATTAATAATAATGGTGCAACCTGTTCACCTGCACCTAAAGGGCATATAGGGACCGAAGGTATAGAAATATCTACCTGTTACGCAACCTGTTGCATGTGTTGTAACCTTTGTCTGTAGGTACGACTGAATATGCATTAAATGTAGTTAAACGTGTACGTACTTCTTTACATGTAACCGGTATCACCCTCAAATTCACCTACTTCCGGTAACCGAGTTGGATGGTACAGTTATCAGATTGATTGTGGTAATGTTATCAAGTGTTAGTAGCGGTAAATGATAAGAAGCAAGGAAAATAAATCTGTTCACGGCCACGTACATATTCAATCTTTTACAATTAGCATGCTTGTATATACAGGGTGTTTCACGGTGACCACCCATTAGAATATTTCGGAAACTATTTCGATTTAAAATTTGAAAATTTATATGCTCTCCTCAGTTAAAATAATATAGCACTTCCGATTGACATCAACTTTTTTATTTTACTTATTCTATTTTTTCTTTTGAAGTTCTGCAAAATTCGCTGCCATTTTCGTAAAAAATTAAATAACTTTAATTGCTTTCACAGAGAACAGTAACTAATCTGAAAATTAGAGATAGTACCATAGGAAAGTGTAGTACCATTCGAAAGAGAATAAAATTCGGCTTAAGGCTATAAAAATACATACAGGGTGTTCCATGTGAGAGAATGGGCTTACGATTGTTTGAAGTTTGAAATCCGTCATTAAATATCTAGCACCCTGTATGTAATCAACCCATTTTGAAAGTATGGACGGGAAGCTTGAGGGTATAGCTATCTTTCCTGAAAATATTGTTGCTTCAACTTCCTTCGTGTAAAATAGGCATGCTTTTCCACTACCTACTATTCTGTGCTACTTTTTCAAAAAAAATATCTCGAAAACGGTAAATTTTAAAAATAAGAAAACCTTATGAAAGCCTACCTAAAATCATAATTAGATTAAAAACCCGTCATAATATAAAGAAAGTGCTACATATATGCTGTTATTTTAATTGAGGAGAGTATACCCAATAACGCTTTTGAACAAATTTTCAAATTTTAAGTCGAAGTGCTTTTCGAAATATACTAATGGGTGTGATATATGTGTATTATTGTTATTCACTTATTTAGGTATTTTTTGGTAATATATAGCGTTGTATTCAATTATTTAATTATTTATTATTATATATGTTTAAATTTTCTGTTTTCTTAATTTAGTGTAGTTACTTATTGTTAAAGTAATAATATTGACCATTAAATTAAAGTGTAAATTATACATAACATATTTCTGCTTTATAAAAGATATGGAACAAGTTTTGGCAATTTTAATTTGTTTGTATAATATTTGTTTATATGGCCTTCATATTTTGCATATGTCTGTGGTTTATTTATTATATTATTCAACAGCAGGTGGAACATTATTAAACTTTTATAAATGGACATTGCACCTAGAAGCAGACTCACTATGATAAACCAGTGACGACCTAGATATTTATTGCAAGAAATCACTGAAGTATCTAAAGATAATATTTGCTAAAGATGTTGTTAGAATTGCTTTTGATGCTTATATTAGTAACGGTGTTTGTAAAAATAATAAAGCAATCTATAGTTGGTTCGTTAGCTGCCTTTATCTCTTTTGTGTATTTTTGTGTTCTAACGGTATTGAGGAATATCAATTTTTTAGCAAAGCTATCGGAAAGTGTCAATTTTTAACTAGCAGTATGTACATTACAAATTCGTTTTTTTTTTAACATTAAAGTGAATATTAATTTTAGGTAATTGGGCACCAGGGCACAGTTTTTGAATTGCGTCATTTCAATTTTATTTTATATACGTTTGTATATTTTAATAACCATCCTATACATAGTGCAAATTAACCCATAATTTCATATTTTACATGGCGAATATTAGTTACAGCAATATTAAACACATGAAATAAAATACAACAATGAACAACCATTGCGAAATCGGCAGGCACTATCCCGATTTTACTCTTACTACTAAATGTGCGTTTAGACTGAGTGAGTAAAATCTCATTTGTTACGCTACGACGAAATTACCGCTTTATGATACGGCAGTTTGTTCGATTGTCGTTTACATTCTATGAAGGCAAACCAAAATTTCCAATCAGGTATGTTCGTGTCCACTAGTGATGAACAAAAATAGTTTTAGTATTTCAGTTTTGTCCTATCTTGGTCTTGTACATTAGGCTATTAGCAAGATTCTCGCAAAATTCTCATCTAATAAATTATAATATAGTAACAAAATAGAATGAAATCATCATCATCATAAGGTCGTCAATCCTAAGACTGGTTGGACACGTACCTCCACCATTTCCTATCCCGAGCTAATCTTCGCATTTCCCCAAAACTAGAACAATCCACATCCTTAACTATTTGCGAATCCAATCTAGGTCGTGTCGTACCAACCTATCTCATCTATTTCTTATTTACTTCCCTGGAGTTCTCTGTTCTCCTATTCTTTCTAATACCTCTTCATTTCTAACCTTCTCTATCCACGGTATCCTCATCATTCGCCTGGAACACTACATTTCGAACGCTTCTAACCTTTTCTGATGCAAATATAAACAAATTCCCTTAACTCTATTGCAAAATGTAGGAGGTGCCCGAAATTAACTAATTTGACGGTTTAAAACTAAAGAGAAAACAATTTATGTTGATTTTCGCGATTTTCTTCTTGATGAATAACGATAACCAATAAAGTCAAAATATCGTTAGATTTCTAACTGCAATATTACGAGAACGGACCACATGTTATTTATACCTATATAATTTTAATTTTTCTGAAGTTTTGCAAAAACAAAAACCTATCTCACAACAACAAGATCCAAGACATACTGCCGAAAAGTGAGACACCAAGACCAAATGTTGGTCTTGTCTTGATCTTACGTTTGCTCGTCGTTGTTGTCCGCCTAAATCTATACGCATATCAACAATTTGTTTCATTCTAGCGGGTAAAGAACTCACACGTTAATGAGTTCTATTTTCAGAACAATGTTTAGATTACAATAGGCACCATTATATGTATGTACATACGCATTATGTATAATTGGAATTAGGTTTATTACAGGGATTTTATGCGAATTATACATTATAATTACATACACAAGTGGCGAGTTGTGAACCAAGCATAGGGGTATTCTATTAATCCAATCATCAAAGGGCGGCATCATCTTTTGAAAAGTACGAAGGAAATTGACGTACTAAACTAAATATCTTAAACCATCTTTTCACATGAATAATATTTGTAAAAAGCTTTTGAGGGATGTTACGTCTTGTTCAAAACATTTTAAGAACGTGCCATGTCTCAATAAAGTCATCCCAGGTGCTCAAAATACAGAATTTGTAGGGCTGCTCTATATGCTATGAAAGCCTTTTTAGGTGGATTTACTTAATTTCCAATTAGCAGTTTAGTACGCCAATTTGATTTTAAGAAAACTAGTAAATAATAAAACGGCTGTACTGTAATAGTATCTACAGTAGAACCCTTGTTAGTCTGCCGCGAATTAACTGTTTTTGGAATTAACTGGCCCAGTGAGAAAAATAAAAAACTGATGAACCTACCTTGAAAAGCAAGTAAGTTCAATTGCTAGAGAAGTCATTATCATGAAAAACCCCCCAACATATAAATGTATAATCGCAAAAAAAAATTGTGTTGTTACATGTCAAACTGTAAACAGGTTTTGGATTTTTCCCTTTACTGATGCTGTAATACAGAATTTACAGAATTTATACCATAAACCAAATCACCTACTTCCCGTCAAATTTCATAATTGTAAATCAACAGGCCCTATAAGTTTTGATTCCCTTGCGAGTGTCAAAATGTGTGGCATAAATGATCCTATCATTTGATTAACATTAACTTAGAAGTTTCACTTTTTCACAGCTCCAAGGTATTGCTCATATGTGTACAAAAAGGGTCTTGACAGACAGATGGACTGACAACGACAAGATTCTGTAAGGGCTCCTTTTTTTTGAGGTAAAAAATTACCCGGGACTGTTTGTGAAGGAATGTA